ATTTTGCCAAACAATTAGTCTGCTTTACGTTCAAACATGGACATTTCATTTTGTAAAACTGAGTGATTCAAATTGACACTTTGAAAACACGAAGAAAGCATCAAGGATTTCACGTCAAAAATGTTCTTAATCGCGACAGCGATCCACATAACTGTGGAGTCGATAGCTTACAATATATTTCTATCCGAGTCCATGCTGAAGAAGTGTGAAACAACATACCTTTTCGATAATTTGGGAAGGATAAAAACGGAAGGTGTTGGCAGGCTACAGTAATGACCGTGACCTCATTGATAACACAGGGGGAGCTAATCTTAGTTCAAACCCTAGTTGAGAGTGGTTTCCCTTTGTATTCGCCCGGGACACCTTGCTCAATGTTACAGTTTTCATGAAGCCCAGAGTTCCGCTGTTATATTTTCTGGATCGCATTTGTGTCAATGCTTTAGTTTTTATTTTCGCATTTTATTGACTTAACAAGGAAAAACATGTGATCAAATATCTGTATACAATATCTAATATTTTTCTTCTTGCAAAAGTAATTGTAATTTATTTCGTTTTAAATTCAATACCTATGTTATCTATATCCTCTTGAAAGACAAATATTTGATAAAAAGTGATTAAAAACTGTCTGTTGAACAATTGCATTCTTTAAAAACAGGTGATTAACGGCATATAGATGTTTTCCATTATAATTATATCAATTTACTGAAATTTTGACAGCAAAAGTTAAGCACAGATTTTCCTATCGACAAATCAAATAAAAAATGGGTTCCCATGCTCGTTCTGGTTCTCATCCAAATGTAGCATAGTTTGCACATTGTCCAAAATTCACTTTCCAATATATGTTCGCAGAAAAAAAGTTTATTGAATGAAATTTACTGATCAATATAAAATACACATTTTCAACACAATAATCTTTGCATTCAATAAACCGGTTTTAAAATTACAAAGTATTTCGCTCCTCAGCCAGATTTAAATCAGACAAATCAGTTTATTACCTCTACTTAATTTAAAAGGATAGAAAATGACCACATTATATGTATGTTCACGTTAACTTGTGGCGTGTTCCATGAGACAACATAACTTGACAATTCCTAAATTATCTCTCTCTGCGAACGAAAATTAGTGTCACTTTTAAATTTTGAAAATAATTATGGATCTAGATAGTTAAAAAAATAATTTCATCATCTAAATACTAACAGCTTGATATTGTATTTAAGTCCTTGGTTAATTCGTGAAATATATTGGATACATAAGTAACAAAACAAACTTAACAGGCTTAGATTGTTATAAAAACTTGCTTGTAGGTGCGCTGCTTCCTTAACAATTTTTGTTTTGAGTGTTTCCACGTTTTATGTTAGTGTTTACACTAAACTTGACTTTTGACATAAACACAAAAATATACAGTATACATCACTTAACATCAGACTTGAACACGCATGTTAAATGCTGAACGCATATGCAGTTCGATCAAAGGTCTCGTCATTGTCATTTAGAATAACGTCCCTTACTTTCGTCCTTGACTTTGTACGCAATGTGTTTATATCATACAGTTCTGCGCGCTCACGGGAGGACCATTTGAAGGGAAAATAGTGAAGTATCTTTTCGCACATTATTTCAATTCTAATAGCTAAAGTGTGGTAACACTACACTTATTGATTATAACATTTATCGGTTTTGAAAAATGCTATTGCATGGCACACGAATACTATTTGTGTTCGGGTAGTCATGGCATCATTTGTCGTAAGAACAAAACGTCTACATGTAGGATTCTACAGAATTTCCCTCAAATATGTGCATGTTAAACAATGTGACCTGACAATGTGATCATGAATTCCGTGTCACTTATCTATGTTGTTGTCATTGTCAGCACCTGGGAAATCCTCGTGACGTCATTGGGAAACACCCCGCTTTTTCAATCTCTAACACAAATGAGTTCTCTGTCAGAGTTACGATAGGTATCGTAACTCTGAAGATCTGCGACAGGTTTACGATAGTTTCGAAAATCTATCTTATCTTAACCTTAGATATCTTATCTTTGAACGTAAGTTGTTAAAATTTATCTTAGCTAAGATCATTTCAAAAATGTAGGCCCTGGGCCTCATTCCTCAAAGCGGTCTTAGCGCTACATTGATCGTGAGCCTATGTTAAAGTATTGGACTTACGATTACCTTAGCGCTACGATTGTTTTGAGGAACGGGGCCCAGGCTTATAATCACACAAATGACAAATATCAACTGAAAACCAAACTGCTGTTGTAACTATGTTGCTAATGAGTCTACAGTAATTTATTTGTAGGCTACATGGTCATAGCCTCATGTTGATCCAAGACACCAACTGTGTATACACATATCTTGTTATTGAGCCAACATGCACTCGATTTGCTGAGAGAAAAACAATCCAATGAAATATGTGTGACCTTGTTAGGATTGGATAGTTGTTTAAATTACTGTGTTCCTGTATAAAAATTGAAAAATGGTAATAGTAGTCAGTCATGAGTAGTTGCCAAAACATTTCAACAGTGAGCTATTGCTGAAACCGTCAGGTACCAGTTGATTTATTATTTGGTTGCTCAACTGTATATGGGGGTCACAGGTGAACTTGCAAAACAGTTTATATGCAATGCAATATTTGCAGTAATGTTTAGTACATTTCCACTATTTATCAGAAGCTGGTCCTGCCATTGTGTATCCTCAAAAAGATACATTGTTCCTGCACATTTGGTCAATGTTTAAGGACACAAAAGTAAAGAATTGTAAGAATTATACACTTTATTTAACTATATTTCGGGTTCTCGAACTGAAACTTACTTACTGGTCCTGTTACTTGTCATTCAAGGGGAGATAATAGGACATTTTGATTTGCCAATTACGTGTATGTCACTTGCAATTTATGCTTTCTTTGGAATAATATAATGTTTCTCACAGAATTGATGATCTCTGTCAATTTTAGAATTATGCCATATAAAATAGACAGTTGTTTTAGAGTATTTATCTGTTGTGTTCCATCTGGTCATGAAAATGACTGGAGCGGGTGATGATGGTGTAAATCTGTATCCTTCATTTGAAGCTTCTTTGATAGGCATTTAGAAGTTGGAGTACTAAGTAAGGATAAGAATGGGAGCAAATGTTGATAAGTTTATTACTTTGAAAAATCCCTTTTGGAGGGATATATTGAATATTTGGGGTAATTACTACAGAAAACATAAAGTTGACAAAGTATTGACAAAATTTTATCAGAACCATTATGGTTCAATCACCAATTTAAAAATAATTTCATTCTAAAACATTGGTTTAATAAGGGTATTCATAGTTTAAAAGATTTATGTAGCAACAACAGATTTTTAACATTTGAAGAATTACCAAACCAATTTCAAATTAAAGGTACTATACTTGACTACAACAGAGTAATGCTAAATATTCCTAAATCATGAAAAAAAGCAATAAATGGCAGATCTTCTATCACAGCTAACTTATACATAAATAACATTTTGAGAGACTTGTTGATAAGAACAAAGGGCTCCAGAATATTTTATGATAAACTGATAGCTACAACCAACTTTCCTCTGGTGTGTGATAAATAGGAAAATGAACTGAATCAAAGTATTTTATGGAATAGTGTTTTCTCTAATTGTAGATTGTGTATCAATGATGTTAAACTAATAGATTTCCAGTACAGATTCATAAACAGAGCTCTATATACCAAAAAGGAATTATTGAAAATGAAGTTAATAGATGATGATATATGCTCATTTTGTGTCTCTGAATCTGACGACTTATACCATGTGTATGTAGAATGTTTTTGTAAAGGAATTTTGGTTAGAAATTGAAATGTACCTAAACTCGAAACTTGCATATGATATTCATATTACCATTCTGGATAAGTTATTTTGCAACAACAAAAACAACTACCTTTTCAACCACATAATTCTTCTTGCAAAAAAATACATTCACCAGTCAAGCACTAAGAAAACTCCATTATGCTTTCCCTTTTTTCATAAAAATATTGAAAGATGTATGTAAATTAGAAAAATTCATCGCAATGAAAAATAGTAGTATTACAGCTCTGCACGCTATAGTCAAACCCATTCGACAGAGGTGTCACTTCCCGTGCATCTGATGTCGAACCTATTCGACAGGCGGATAGCATAACGACACCCCAAAATAAAACTCGCCATATCTATTTACCAAGAAGGCCATGCGTAACATTGAAATTACGTATGACATGCATAAATGCTCAGCTTGCTCAATATAAAAACTTTCAGTAATTTATTTACCTCAAAAAAGAAAATATCGCAAGTTAAAAAAGTTTCAGCCAAACTTCTCGGCACACAACTACCAGAAACGGCCATTGTTGACTTTTGGCACTTCACGTTCAGCGGCATGCACTCCGAAATTTTCTTTATAATTTCATCATTTTTCCTATTCGATCATAATTTTTTGTTTTCTGACGAAAGGAAAACACTCATGTTCCTTAATTTCTAAAAATTAGCAACTTTCGGTGTAACTAATTGTAAACAAAAACAATCTGAATCGTAACATCATCGATTGGATGGAATTTGTACGATCATGGCAACGGCGGTAAACAAACATCTCCACATGCATAGTTATCCCGTTAGACTATTACAATCATTTTGTTACATCTAACTTAATTTTCTAGAATTATTGACACGGATGTATAATTCTTTGTAAATAAAATCATTTTTAAAGAGTTTGCATATGATTTCGTTTGATAAACTTTCGGACACATTCAATAGCAAAATAATGCAGTTTACAAGAAATAATCAAAGTACTTGCAATTTTAGCTATTCGACAGAAAATGGAAGGAATTATCAGCCTACTTATTACAATTTCTCAGTCAATCAATATATGTACTTACCCATATCTGATCATGTTTTAAGATTCTATGATTTGCTACATGTATATACCTCATGTACCAATGTTACATTCATGTCTACTGAATTGAAATAAAAATATTTTTAAAACAGAGAGTAAGGATAAGAATTTATGGATGAACAACTTCTTTATTACAATAAAGAGCTACGTTTCGGTGTAGGTTCTAACACTGTTATCAAGCACTTACCTTATCCTTACCTTCATTTGAAAGTTGAAAGTACATTTTTTATCATCAAGTACTTAGTATGTTTGGTTTGATTTTAAGTAACATGTTCACTGACAGATAATTGGATAATATTGATTATATGATGGGAATTTTACTTGAAAAGACTGTCAAAACAGTGTTATCTGTCTTTCTCAGCTATTTTCCAGGTATCCACTTTTTCAGAGTTAATTGGTGGCGGAAACTGGGAAAAGTGTACTTACTACTTCTTGAAGATACCAGACAAGTAGGCTATGACATAAGCTCACTAGACTTTCAGGCTGAGACAGCCATATTAGCCATACAGAAAAAAAATCATTTTTGTCAAATGTTTACCCATGTTTTGTGAAAAAATATTGTGCATGACATAAATATTTCTTAGCAATTAACTAATCAATTTACTTAAATGTCTCACTAAAACATATCACAAAATGCAGTTGTATGTCAATGTCATCCTTCCTCCACTCTTGAATTCCATGATTCACACTATAGCTTCCTGTTGGCAGTTAATGTGTGTGGTGTTTTCCCATTTCACAGCAGCACACTGTACACATTCATCTCTTCAAGGGTATTTTCTGTTTTATGAACTGCAAACAAAAGAGAGAAAATATACCAAGAGATACAGTTCAAGTCCACATCCAACAAAGTTAACTCTGATAATAACCAGTGTACCAGAAGTACAGAAGCTCACCTCATTGATACGAAACATGTGAGGATTTGCTAACCCAAATAAATTGTCTTACAACCATACTATAATGTGAGTTTTTATTGTGATACCTCTTCTGCACTGCTCAAGCTGCAAGTGCTTTGCTTGCATTTGTGAGTGAAGTTTGTGAAATGCAATCTCTTGGCGAGTGTGGAAAAATCATGAATTCAGTAATCAATTTTAGTGACAGTTTAGTTTTTTAAATTTTGTTGCTGACTTTGTTTAAGGTTAAACTCAGGTTGAGAACTGAGCACTCATATCTACTCATACACCATTGTGTTCAAATTTGAGATTGAAGTAAAGTATCACACTAATAGGAATATCCATGATCGTCATCATTTCATGTTTGGCAGTTCTCTATAGAGTGAGATCAAATTGAGAGTCAGCTAATATATAATTGCACAAACTTTTAACACTGTTACAATTGTAACATTGTGTTCAAATCAGATATCTTTAACAGTAATAAATTATAATAAATAACAAACAGCTTTCAATTTACCATAATCTTTTATTCCTCACAATTGTAAGAGGCAAAGTTGCATGCCAATATTAGCATGGCCACTTGCATTTCATTTTGGCTAATGATTTAATATATTTACTTAGCTGTCAACAAGTAATTAAAATAGTGAACTTGGAGCCCTACGTCTTTGAATATTTTGGATTTTCTCTGTTATGTTTAGAAGTCTTATTTGATGATGTATTAGCTTTTGCTTCAATACACTACTTTTTCATTGTTTAAAATAGGAATTAAAAGAAGCAACTACACTTAAGAAATGAATTTTTCCTAACATTGATATTTTATAACTTATACATATATAAGTTATAGACATAGATGGTCTCATGTTTCAAATTATCAAATAGGCATTAAAACTTATCTATTTTCAAAACCTTAAGTTTGATAATCTTTGATCTTTCACAAAAATCGGTGGTACTCTATACAGCGTGAGCCCTTTTCTGAGAGGTCACAGATGTCATTGGGGTCATAACCAGTTTGTATGTTTATTAAAAAAGTAGTGACCTTCAACTTCAAAGTCAGACAATGAAATACCTGTAATGATAACCTTGACATGTATAGGCTGTATAGAGTACAGAAGGGCTATATTCTTCATTATCATGTGCTGCGGCATCTAAAGGACAAGCTAAACCTGCTTATTCTCACATGATATGAATGTGTTCAGTAGTTGTAAAGCAGATGTCTTTATGCTCTATTTGAACAGACAGAAGCATTGACAGATGGACATTACTTTGATGATCCTGAGATGAACTAAAAATCACACAATGGTTATCTTTGTGTATAATTATAAGAATGAGGAGGGATGAGCAGAAGTCCACCTTTCAACATGAGAACTTGGAGGGATGTTAGTGTCATCCAAAAATGACCAGATCAGCATGGCTGATTGACTGCTTCCACGATCATCTCCTGTGACTTCATGGGGGGCCCAGGATACCGTGGTGTAACTGGAATGTGGCTCGATGTAGATGATGCCCTGTACAGGACGAAACTCTGGCTTGGTAGGATAAACAATGAACTAAACTGAAAGAACACCTTCGTGAAGACAACGATGACTTTAAAGCTGACGTGAATGGGTATTTCAGGGTGGCTCTGGGAAACTTCTTCCTGACTGGAATTGAAAAGCTTCACTATCGATATGAGATTTTGATAAAAATTAAAAACACTTTCACTAATGTAGGTTTTGTTTTTTAGGCTTAAAACTTTTTGACCAGCCCTCGTACGTCATTGTTGACTGACAAGATGCACAACTCCGTTGATGTGAAACAGTTGATTTTTAAGGCGTATGTTTTTTTGTCAATGTGAAGCAGAAAGAGGAAAACCATTTTATGTCTATAATAAACAAAACGGGAATTTATGGTGTAAGAGAGGTAGGGTATTCAAAGGAATTATGTTATTACTGGAAATGTCCAAATCATCATGTAAAATAATTATGCCTTACAGGGTACATGGATACTTTATTTAGTTATTTAACAGGCCAGTTTCCACTTGCGTGGAGTAGAGGTACAAATATAGTGCCAATTAATAAAAATGGCCCAAGTGATGAGCCTAATAATTACAGGGGATTAAGTTTAAAGTGTTTTCGGAAAGATATTTGCAACAATAATTTACTTAAGATTGAAAACATTGGCCGAAAATAAAAACAAAATATGTGAGGAACAAGCAGGTTATAGGCCTATTGATACAAAAATAGAGGTGGATTTTATGTTGCATTTGTAGACTGCAGACAGAAAAAAACTATTTATGTTCTCCACAAATGAGGCCTGACAGTTAAAATGCTGAATATGATTCAGTTTATGTACTCATCTGTTACAGCATATGTGCAGTGTAATGTGGTTTTACAGAGTGTTTCTACTGACTTTTTGGACAAAAACAGGGCTGTGAATTAAGTCCAATGAAAGTCACTTTTCATAAATGAGTTGGTCACTGAAATTCTTGATACTTGCCGAAGAGGACTTACATGAATTGTTTCTATTTCATAAAAGTGGATTTTATTAAATCTTATATTTGCCGAAAATCGTCAAGTTTTCACTTCCTTGGTCCTCAATCTGGACATTATGAATGTATTAGCTTACATTTTTTATTTACAACTAACTTAATTAAGCTGTAAATGCATTATTTAAATAATGTGATAAACATAGCTTTCATATGTATGAACAGTAGGATTAGACCTTTCGAATGGTGTATAACATGCAGTAGCAAAGATGTTTTACATGCAGATATTTTCCTTGATAAAAGTTGGCTTCATGTATCACACTAGAGTCTCTGGGAACTAAGTGTTACTGCAGTAAAAGCTTCTGGTTGACTGGTGGTGAAAGAAATAAACTCAGAATCCCACGTTGACAAGGCCAGATATCCCATATGGGAGGTTGCGGTGATTTCAGCTGGAGTCACCTTACGCATGTGGTCAATCTGCTTCTGTTGGAAATCCACGAATGTCTGGAAGTGATCAATCCTGCTGGCATTAATCTCAGTAAGATTTTGATCCATCGTCCGAGATCATGAGGCCAATGCCAGCAAAGGAGATCTTCGTCCAAGTCGTGCACATGGTCTGCAACCCCAAAGGCATAGATGGAGGTATAGGGTGCGACCATAGGGTGTCCCTCTTGTTAACACCTGAGCCGGGTGAAGGTGCTACCGCTGAAAAGCAGTCTACCATCTAAAATAGCATCTGAGCAGGACCGAGGTGAGTACCCCACTCCAAGGACTTGTCAAGTGACTTGGATAATGACCCCTTCGAGAAATCTGATAAGTAGTGCTCTGAGCGGCAGACAGGAGAGTGGCTCCTGGAACGTTACTTGGATCATGGCACTTTGGAGGATCGGCTTAAAGACATGCCTGGAGATGAATCCTGTGACCTAATCCATGACAAGGATACCTAAGCCCACCCTGGGTGCTGCCATAGATGTAGAGGGGGCTGAAACAGTCGCCACTGTCTGGTGAGCAGGAGGAGCTGAGGGACTACAAGCACATGAGGCGTTGCAAGTGCTGTCGTGCAAGCAGTATGTAAGGCGCCAAAGGCGCTAGTGTTGACTGCTGGTAGGCAGGCGCAGGCGCTTGTGACAGGGGGGACACAGGCGCCTGCTGAAACATGGGCTGCTTAAAAGTCTGCATCCAAGTAGGTTCCATGTAGGCCAGCAGCAGGAAATGTGCTTGTGGAGCTGTCGGAAACCCGGGAGGCGCAGATAACAACTGGACGTGATAGGTGGTCAATGCAGGTGTGGAGGTGATGCCCGAAGCCCAGTCAGAAAGAGTTGCCAGGTATCAGGCACTGTAGAAGTGTCTGCAGGCACCGACAAGGTAGAGATGCCTGAAGGCACAGGTCAATTAAACATTCAGGATGTCAATGGTCATCGAGGGCATGGATAGCGCCCAACCCAAAGTAGGTTAGGTGGTAATCACCAAGGGAGTCCGACATCATCTTGAAGTGCCTCAGAGATTGCTGAGCCAGGAGCGTGGATGATAACTGCTGATTCATGTTGAAGCTTGAGGGGGAGAGGTAAACAAAAATTACACTTAAACCCAGACGTACAAAGTTGAGTACAATTTAGGCTGAAAAATAAAAATTGGTTCTCAGGCAATAGCTTTTGAAAATATCGGGCGGGCGGGTGGGAGGCCCTTCTTTTTTGGGGGGGGTTGTGTACACACTGGTAAGAATCCAAATCCGTATATTGCTGTGTATAAGGCGAGTTTTTCATAACTAGAATTAGGAGGCTTTCAAAGTATGTGTGTGTGTGGTTTTGGGGGGGTCGTCTTATACACAGGGTTGAGTATGTTATTGGTTTTTTCCCGCAACACATAGACATTACTGTAAGCACGGAACACCTGAAATACCATGTCAACAAATCCGTACTTAAATGCTCAAATCATGTCTGGTTGTAGAAGAGTTCATAATATATCTGGACTTCTGTTGGTAATCTATTTAATAATTTTATTCAACATTTCATTCAATATTGTTTCAATTCATTTCGGCAAAATCATATGTGAAGTGATTGGAAGATCGCACAACTCACCGTTATTTACAGCAACCACGGTCATTTTACCGCTATTGATAGAGAATGGATATATATATATCATAAATGCCATACATTGAATCACTGAAAGTCATACTTGTTGTAGTTTGACTATTATATGTCAACATTAAGTTTTTGCAATCACGGGCGCATGGATGGTGATTGGTCAAATTCTTCCATTCGAAAACATTTCCGGCAATAGCGATCAGCTGAACCAAAGTGCTACGCTTATGGTTATTAATTTATTTCACATATATATAGTAAAGCTGCAACTGCACATGATATTGGAATAAATTATTCCTGACAAAATAATAGTTTCAGATACAATTCTTCCACTCATTGTATCAAAATTCTTTA